GTTACAGACTCAAACAGGACTTCTCTCTCATTAACACCAGTAGCAGTGCTACTCCAAAGGGATGAACTGCAGCTGGAGATCAACTGTCCCTTTCTGAGAGGTGAGACAGAGTTTATGTCATCAGCCAGTGCAGTAGACACAGAAAGACATCCTGGGAATGAAGCAGACAAACTGCCAGAAGGGACTTGAGTCACTGAGAGCTAAAAAAGCGAGTTTGAAGTGTTCATGTGAGCAGGGAATTGATACATGGAGTTGGCCATGAAAGTGAGAAAACATGGAAGTAAAACTTTTCACTGTCTCACTGAACAAAAAGGACAATAAGTGACTTGAGAGAGTCACTTATTATTTTCAAAATAATACTTGGAGCAATTGAACCATCAAGAAAGTTATTTGAAGACTTGACCTGGACAGAATAAGACTGTAGAGGGACTCAGTAATTGTGCTCAAAACCAAAAATAAAAATATGAGGCAATTGAGCCTTATGTTTCAGATGTAAGATCTCTGACACTGCACACATCTTTGGAGACATTATGGAGCCACTAATTAAAAACAGGAGTTGCTTCTGGGATTCCAGAGTGCAAGTGAAATTATTGAGAGAAACAGATCCAGCCCTGGAGAGATCAGCCAGCATCACAAAAAGGTCACTGCTGAGCTCTCAGACAAGTATAACACATGTCACTGGGCTTCCAAAGCTCTCAGGTGAGGCAAAGGTAATGCCCAGCAATGTCTCTGGAATACAGCAAGCTGGATACGCTGCACAGAGTACCACACAGAAGGGCTATTTGCAAAACCTTTACAGCCCAGAAGGGAGGCTCCGGCAATCACTACAGCCCACAGTGGGCACTGCAGGATGTGCCTGCGCTGAGTCCCAGCATTTCTCTTAAGAAGCCACCCTGTAGCTCCAGCAAAGGTCTGGCATTCTTTACACAACATACACTGAACATGTGGGAGACAGGCTTGCCTGAGCAGAGCCATGGAGCATATCCTCTGGCCAAGCATGACTGCCCACAGCAAACACCATCAGACAGAGAAAACAGTGAACTGGCAGGGAGACAGCCCAGCCAAACCCCTGGGGGGAGGGAATGAAACAGCGTGGACAGGTCTGTTTGCTTTCAATAACAGGAACATGTACAGCCACCCCAGCTCATTGACCCAACTCCACTAAGACCAGCTTCCTCAGAACAGTTTTCTAGGCTTTTGGGAGCCGTAAGTGGAAAGGGGGTGAGGCTACAGGCTTTGATGTGGAACAGAAGTGGTGAAAAGTGATTTGAGTCTGAATAATGGAAGAAAAGTCTGCCTAAGAGAAATTCCTGGGAGAGAAGTTAAAAAAAGCAGGAGACAGAGCTGGATGTGAGTAAGACAGAAGACATTACAGTCATGTTGGACATGACATGCTGCATAAAATAGTGTGTGACAACAGGTCAGCAGCTTGGTGTAAGTTTCTGGGCTATATCTGTAATTGCCAGTTGTGCACAAAGTCCCATGACACAGAGGAAAGCAGGGTCATACGGATGTCTGTCTGACCCTTCCATACCCTCTCCACTTTCAGTTCAAATGCAGAGAGAATGTGACACTCCCAGGCCCAGAGGGTCAGGGCAGCCTCTTACCAGCCTCTGCACCAGCTTCACATGAATCCTCAATGTCAAAATCACTAGGACTGCCATTTCAAAGGCATTATAGACAGATACGGGGCATAGAAAGCCTGAGAGATTAGAGACTGAAGTTGGAGAAACGCCTGGAGATGTTTGCTGTGTGCGGTGTCATTTATTGTTATAACCCATGGCATCAGCCAGATGTTACGAGCCCTGCAGTGTGAAAGTGTGAGAGCCCAGCACCTGATGCCACCCTCAAGCCCAGGAGGAGGTTACAAAGGCATTCAGCTTGGAAGCTCTTGAACAGACAGGAGACTCTGCTAGTCGAGACCTCTATCTGAGACTGTACAGCACCTGCCACACCAGATCACCACAGCCTCAAAAAGTCATCTCTTTTCCTCAGGAAGGGGCAGAGAGTTGCAGTCATGCCAGGAGAGAACAGCACCAGATGCTATTGGCAGGGCAAAGCCAAAACTGAAAGATCTCCCAACATGAAACAGCAGAGCTGCAGATGATTCAGGAAAGAACTGAAGGTCAAAACAGTGCAGGGTGACCCAGGGGCTCTCCTGACTTAGCAGACTGTGAACAATTAAATAGGTATATTTAATAATTGCTTTTTTCATGTAAATGTTTGCTGTTAGTGTGTGTTGTTTGTGCAGCGGAGGTATAAAGAAAGGTAGGATGCCCTGGCACAGAACAACTGGACCTATCCCTGTTGTACACCTTACCTACTGACACTGCTGAAAGCTGGTCCCTGGTAGGCACTCTGCCTGATGGCTGAGAAGAGTGGCTACAGCATCATCTGCAGCTGTAATGCCTCTGAAAAGAGCTGTTTTCCAAGAAGGAGCTTGTTTCATTTTTACAAGCAACGAAGGGCTTTTTGGCTCTTGCTCAGCATGTGTTACCTGACATGCCAGGCATTCCCAGCAGCCATGAGGAGAGTCAGGCAGTGAGGAACTACTCTGTGTACTGAGCTGAACTAGCTTTCTCATTTGTCCAAGTCTTGGCAGACAGGTACATTTTTTAAAGGTACTTGTTTCTAAATACAAATGCAACTCGTTTTGCTTCAGTCTATCCATCTAGTGTTCTGTGCTTGTGGGCACAAAGTTACCAGTACCAGTTAACATGACTGAGAATTAAAAAGGAAATACATGTTCTTCTATCAGAAACAGAATGGCTGAAGTTAAAAGATTTCAAGATATCCTGCAGTTTTGAAGCTTGCTGTTCCTTGCCTGCTTAAATAAAGGGAAGTGGAGCTAAAGGATACATTCTGCATAATTGAAAATGCACAAACACAGGGAGATAGACAAAAAGAGAGAAAGCTAACTGGAAGCAGTTTCCCAAGCAAGTTACTTGATCTTGGCCAACAGAACCTGCAGTTTCAAGCCATTTAGGCACTCTGGAAAATTTGCTCTGGATATGAAACACATTTACTCAGCACCCGTCAATTCTGTGCTGCAGCCAGCCCTGGGGAAAGAGGGGTCTCGGTGGCTGCAGCCAGCACTCTGGGCAGCTTCCAGTCCTCCTCTCCTGCCAACAGTAAATAAAAGCATAATGAAATAAGAACAGCTAATGCTAACGCCCTAGAGCTGATGTTGGAACGAGGAGCGTGAGACCGGAGAACCGCAAGCAGCCTCTCCTCTCTACTGCAAAGCACTTGCAGCCCAGATACATCCCGAGCCAGGCTGATTTTCTGTGGATTCAGTAGCTCTGAGAGGGTTCTCTCTTCCATTAATTCATTCAGCCTTCTCTCAGGCTGCACTACTGATCGATGTTTTCTACACAGGCAGCCACACCAAGGAAAGAGAGAATCAATATTCACTTTGGTCATGGCCTCTCCAGTCCTCAGCCATTCCCATATGTGTCCTTATGTTAACGACCCCATGGAAGGGATAGGAATGAGATCAGCAGCTGACAGCAGGGCCCTGTGCCACAGAAATTTCCAAATAATGTTCTTTCTCTGTCTCTTAGGAACACATAATGCAGCTGATACTCCTGCCCTTTTCTTACACCTTTTTCTGTGCATACAATTCATCTGGCAAATATATATCAAAGTAAATGTAAGAAAAAAAGATTAAAATTAAAACTTTGCAAATGAGCGGAAAAAAACAAATCAATGTGAAAACTGGTTTACTGAAGTTTTGCTCCATTCACATAGTGTATGTTAGAATTTAGTAACATGAAGAAATTACAGATGTGACTTAAGCCTTCTAAGACTTTATGTTAGTTTTTCCCCCTGCAAAATTAAAGTCTCTGTGGAGGAAGCATGGCATGAAAGAACTAAGAATTGTGATGACAAGATGATCAGTATTATTGACATTTTCCTTCCATATTTTAATTTGATAGAACTAGGTAAACACCTTTCCTAAAACAGTGAACCCAAATTGAATTCAGTTGAGTTACTGAGTGAAAGAATGAATTACTTTCTTAATTTCCCTTAGGAAAGAAAGGTCTCTGCATTACTCGTACATGCCATCAAATTAAAATGGTGTGAAGAAGTACAAGTTACTCAGCAATGAAATGTTGTGGAGTAAATGGGAGGCAAATGTTAAAAATCCTTCTCTGAGCAGCCAAGAAGAAAATTCTTGCATGATACATGTAGGTGACATAATCTTGGGACAGCCTTTCCATAGGTGTGGGCCGTCTTTGCATGTTCCCCAGGAGAAATCTGCACATTGTTTGTCAAAATGGCTGTTGATTTATGTCTTTGTTTTCTTAGAAATATGAATCTTTGTCTATCCATTGATTTTCAGTATAGAATTAAACTTTACAATCGTGTCGTACATCAGTCCTTATAAGTTTGCCACAGACTTTCAAGCTCTTTCCTTAAGTTCCTATTTTCAAGCTGAATTGAGGCATGTCTTCTGCAATTAAAAAAAAACCAAAAAAAACAGCAAAAATCAAGCATCGATTTAAACACATCAGGTGTTAGAAAACTGTCAGACAGAATCTGATTCTTCATCTAAGTTGTCTCATGGTTTTCCTCGTGTGCTTCATCGGTCTCTGGGCGTCTGTGAACTCCTTCTAATGCAATAATGAAATGGGATTGAGGAAATTAACTTCTTGGTCTCTACATAGCAATTGACCAGTGTAAAACATCCCTGAAAACTTATATTTCCTTTGAAAGAAATAGGAGAATCTATAAATTTTAAAAATTACTTACATAGTATCTAAAAGTGCCCGAACTAGACCCTTCAGAGAAAGATGCAAGCAGTTTCACATTCCACAGTTATAAAGCAATGTGTCAGAAAGGGATATTGTTCCTATCCCAACCTCACATGAAGCTTGTTTATGCCTTGAAGAACAAATTTATTTCAATGACTTTTGGAGATAACTTTTATTCCATGCTGTAAATCAGGGTGGCTTATTGGAAAACACTCATTAGTGGTCAGTTTTCTAAACCCCAGCGCTGACAGTATCTGACATCATTTTCTTCAGCATTATCCTTCAAAAACCTACTCACTCCAGCCCATAGTCTTGTGTAAGCTGAAAACATTACATAAATATATTGCTTCACAGGTAGAACAAAGTTTCAGTGTGTGAAAAGAAGTTAATATCTGCCCAATTTTCATACTGAAATTCCAGCCAGGTAATTGGTGAGTCAAAGATGTGATGTGTAATGCTGGAAGTGCCTCCACAGGCACTGGGGAGAAGAGGCTGAGCTGTGACACAGTTTCAAATGCACCTTGGTGGAGTTGTAATCAGACATCTGTGTGGGGACTTCAACAACTTCCCTTCTCCTCCTTTGTCTGAGGTCCAGTCACATTTTGTTTTGATCTTTGTACTGGGATGTTTCACTGCTGGGTAGGGGACACCTCATCCTCCTCATGTCCTTAGTCCTGATGACATTATTAGGCACGCTGGTGAGGCCCAGGCCCAGGCCCAGCCTTTGGGAGGGAAACAAAAATAGATTTTTAAGTAGGAAGCACTTTTCCCATGTTGTAGAGTCACAACAGTTCCAAAATGAGAAAGCATATTTTTAGTGATTAGCTGCAGTTAATCCTAAGAATGCTTCAGGCTTTGTAATAAGTCAAACACAATATCCTCTCCTCCTTGGAGAAGTGAGATGTGGGGTTTCAGAGTGGGAGAACAAAAGGATTACAAATGAGGTATTTGCAATAATTCCTCCACAGCAGCTATACACGCTACATAATATTTCCCCCTAAACCAGAAATCTGCCTTGAATAAAAGGAAGAAAATGACATTAGGAGAAAGAAGTCATATCTACAAACTGCACGTAAATCAGAAGTTCATTAGGGGAGTATGCAGAGAAGCTTTTGGAATGTAATTTTGCTACCAACCAGTTTTCACAAGAGTAAAGTAAGGCTTTCAAAAGTATCATTGCTCTAAGTAATTCAAATTACCTATTCTACCTGATACTATCTCTTCCCATAGAGATTACAAAGCACTTAAATTTTTACTCACTTTGTTACAGAAACCCCCAAGGAAGATTTCAATCCATTTGCAAGCACTGCTGTGAGAAGAAAAGAAAAGATATCAGAAGTTCTCAAAATGACCTCCAGCACATCTAGAGTTAAAAGCTCCTTACAAGTATTGTCTCTATATCATAAAGTTCTTTGTTCAGTAATTTCCCACTGAGTCACACAAAAAAACCCACTCTGGACCAAAACTCAGTCTACAAGAGTTCAGCGAAGAAACAATAATACCTGTTGCTTTGTCCCCTTCTTTTTTCTAACACTGAAATAGAAAAGATCCTATGTGTTCTACTCTTTCCAAGCATGAGTGTACTCCTATTATTCAGAATATTACTTTAATTTTACAAGGAAAAGGCGTGGGCTTATAGATGAGATTGCTGATGATGTCTGAAGTGTCAGGTGATCTCCGCCGTGCGGGTGGCCACAGATGGCTCAGCTGTCATTCAGAGGCATGTACCCTCTCCTAGGACATCTCCTATTTTGTAGCAGTCCAAAGCCTTGCTTTTATTTAGGCTAACCTCCCTCTGACACCCACAGGGGTGCGTTATAGCACAGGTTATTAGGGAAGGTACCGCTCAGTTTCTGTCCCTCCCCACAGCAAGCAAGACCCACACTTTGCAGTGTGGAAATGTACTCTGTATCGACACAAAAGTGCTGGGACATCTTATTCCTCTCACAGCCCAAAGGGGAATTTAGGAGTGTGGCTGTGCTTTAGTCTGGCTTGCCACAGAGCTGCACCAGACTCGGTGGCTTGCAGAGTTTTCCAGCAAGGCTGCTCCTCAGGGGAGCTGAAAGGGTCTTGGATTGGGGCAGGTGAGACCTGGCCTGGCTTCAATCAAAACCATTTCTAGCAAGGGTTTTGTACTGACATACAAGGGGTTCACTAAATTCTGCTTTGTGTGCTGAAGTTTGAGCAACTCCAAACTAAAAAAAAATTAAAAAGAAGATGCAGAGGAGGAAGACTGTGTGGAATAAAAAGGTCCAAAGAATGAAACTTCCCATAAGTGCTACTGCCTGCTGTGCCTTGAAACCTATGGGTGAAAATCCAGGATTCTTTGAACCAGGAGAGCTTTGCCTTCATCTTTGGTGTACCTAGGCTTCCAGGTAAGGTCACTACTTGCTGTCTTTACAGGTCCTATAGCTTGACATGCCTGCATATTTCCTGCAGGTCACAACAGCTGCATGAGGAACACGTGCCATCCTGAACAGAGCAGCAGGGAAGGAGCAGCAGGGAAGTTGCCTGCTGAAATGGTCTACTGGAAGGTGTCCCACCCATGGAAGCAGATGATGTCCCTGGGTGTTGGAATTGGATAGTCTTTAAGGTTTCTCCCAACCTAAGGCATTCTACCACTCTATAAAAAGACAACATTGTGGTAAAGTGGGCAAATGTCTGTATTATTGTGTCTGGCTGCTTCCTGTCCTAGCTGCACCTTGCTGCCTGTGAAAACACAGCTAAACCAAAGCTAACTATACAACTGACCAGCAGCACACCAGCAGAAAAGGTGACATGATTGGGGTCTCCTGGCGGCTGACAAGACATCTCAGAGAGCAACTTGCTCACCAGCTTCTCTGGGGCTGGCACAGGACGGAGCCTCTCAGCCCAAAACATGGCCTTTAGAAACACCTGGAGCTTCTGAAAATGGCTGTGTTGTATCAATAACTGAGGGAATCATAGAGCTAGAGAGGGAAATACACACATGTCTTAAGATGCAGCATCCATGAAAAAAAAAAAAGGCAAGAAAACAAAACAATTTTAGTGTTCTTCCAGCAATGCCTCTTGCATTTACTCCAGCACACTATATTTGGTATGGCTGTTCCTGTAGGAGAGCTACTCTCTGACAAGTCCTCATGTAGAACCAGCAAACCTCTAGGGAGTTTAAGGCAGCTTTTATTTAGAGCCACGCTTTGTTATGATACCAAGTTTAGCCTCAGCCATGCTGCTTACTGATATTCCAATGTCTGTGGCTGCTCACAAGCTCAGGGTCCACATTTCTTGGGTTTCATTGATTTCACAGCATCACTGCCCATGCAAAACTCTTGACTGTAGCTCAGATGATTGGCAATGGAGAGAGGGGGGTGGCAAAGACAGCATGCAATGTACACTGATGAGGACAGGAACACTGTGTAGCTGTCAGCACAAAGAAAGGGAGGCTCATCTTGCAGCAGCAATATTTGGGACAAAAGGCTGCAAGATCAATTTAACTCCTTTGATGTGTCATATCTTGCTAGTAAAGGTTTAAATGCTATTTCTGTCTGCCACATTGATTTTCATTATCGTGGATCCTCTTCCTGAGGTAAAGAATTTCTCTCAGAGAAGTTTCCTAAACTTGTTTAGCTTGCAGTGATGTTATGTTTTAAATTACAACACAAATACCTGCATGCATATATGCACCAGCTCTTATTATTCATAAGAAATTTGTGTATGGCACTGTGTAATTTTAGTATTCCATGACAGCAGCATTTAAATTATGTTTTTTCTTCAAAAAAAAGAAAAAAGAAAACAAATCATAACTCATCTAACTTGCAAGTACAACACCCTGTCCTGCTGCCCCTGTTCCATTAATCTGGAGACTGGGAGGCATTAAGTGACTCAAGACCTTTGAATCTGCCCCCTCAGAAACTCTGGCAGCTCAGAACATTGTACATTCTCCGTTATTGTTCCAAAATATCAACTTGCACACTCCAAAACTATTTAAGAAATACTGATTTAATCGTATACTCCCCCACATTTTTGCAACTGCCATCACTACTGGGAGTGTTAATATGCTGAGTGGGACAATTGTGGTGTTTTGCTGCTCTAAAGAAAATTTTTTTTGTCATAAATTCCAGGAATGGGTTCTTTCTGCTGTTTTAGCTACTTCATGTAACAAATAATCTTTGCAATAGGAGAATTCGGCTCATCATGCAGATTTGTGTTCTTTATAAGTGGAAAATAATAGCAGACAGTGTTCCTCCTGTGTCATTGCTTTTATTCCAGTCAAGGTTGATAAAATATTTATTGGAGAGAAAAGAACAAATCAACCTGCATGGGAAACCTGATGATGATGACGATGATGGTGATGATGATTATGACGATGATAAGCACAAGTTTGGGGGTGACATTCTGGTGTAGTGCAGTTCCTTCCCTGTGGCACTTGGGATTTGGCTGGTGAGGCCTGATAGTAGATCAATGAAAGTCCTTAAGGCTGAGATGAAAACCATGCATGATGTTACTGCTGGAAGAGATGTTTGGAGGAGCCTGAGTGTTCCCAGAATAGTACAGTTCCTCTAACATAGCTACAAGCAACACATCCAGCTCCAAAGAGATACTTTTTCTAGGCTTGGATCTAAGGAGGTGGGGGGCGGGGGGGTGACAAACAGTAGAAGGCTGACAATGACAAGCAGGCATTCATTTGAAGGAAAGTAATACATCTACTAAATTCTTAAAGACTAACAGCATAAAGCCTTGCCAATCCCATCACTTTCCCCAAATATAATAATGTCAGGATTTTGGTGTTCTTAGAAAAAAAAAAGAAAGAGCACAATGTTTAAGACTACAACATAGCATTTTGCAGCATTATAGTAATTATAAATACAATGCAATCTGGAAATATATAAAATAAGAGTGCTTTTTTTGCCTTTTTGTCTGGGCTTTGGTGTTGCAGTTGGTCCTGCACAGTCATATACATCAGCCATGTGGCAGCACATGGAGGCCCTGGCAGTGTAAAAAAGCTACTGGATATTGCAATAATTGCACTGTAACTTTATGAAATGTTAGCATCCCACAGCATACTTATTGTTTTGTATAGTCACATGATTAGGATTTAATGCCCCTGGGCTGCATTTTTGAAGGGATTGTCTGGGTGTTTATGTTTTTCACTGCTCCTGGAAGAGCTCACCTTCCTGAGCAGTCTGGTGAATGCAGTTCAGCATGTCTCAGCTCCTCCATGGAAAGAAAGGGAAGATCTTGTTGTTATACCCAGATATTTCGTTTTCTTAGGCATCAGGTACTTACTCTCTAGACAGCTTGGTTCTCTGGCTTACAGCAGTGGGTTTCCCCTGCTGTCTTGGTTGTGTGCAGAAAATACAATTCAATTACTTCTTCCATGTGGAGAAGATGCAGAGAGTCAGCAGTGATAGATAGATCCCTGCAGGGCAGAAAGACCCATCCTCTGAAAAATAATGAACCCTGTAGCAAAGGAAAAGAAAAAGAAGAAAAAAAAAGCTTGGCAGAACACAGCTTACAACTGAAGACCCCACGGCCCTGAGTGAAGTGAAGTTGAAAGTTCATGTAGCTTTGAATCATTGCTCGAGGCTCTCTTCAGAGTCAAAAGGATCTCAGTTCATACACTGGTTACACATTTAATCCTGCTTTAGCGGCTGCAATCAAGTCAAAAGTTTTTACTGTTTGGGAGGGTTTTGAGTGAAAGCTGATACCGCGTGTGGCGAGAGAGAGCTTTCTTCAATTCCACAGATCTGAAATAATCAGTACCACAGTGTGAGCTCCACTTCATTCAGATGCAGTGTAGGCCAAAACTTCTTTCCTAGTCCTGGATATTCTTCACAGAGGTGCGAGCCTGAACATTTCTGAAGCAAACACTGGCATTATCAATCACAGCAGCACCTGAACAAGTGATCTGATTTTAAAAATGGAAACTGTTGGTGCTTTTTCACCTCTGAACATCAGACAGTATGTTCACAGCTTTCTCTGGACGGAGGTATTTGATATTAGCCACTGTTTTGCAATTTTCTCTCTCTTCCATTATAAATGTGGGTGCAAAAACCTGGGTACCACTATTGTTTGCAATAAGAAGCAGTAAATATCTATTCATCACTGATTCACCAAGTTCACATTAGTTATAAACACTGGTAATGGGCTGCCTTTGATGTCATTGCATTAATTGTTAGGATTTCTCTGCCTACAGTGAAAATCAGTATATTTGGGGATCTTCTTAATGGAAGCAGTTCATTTGGATATGTATAAAATTGTTGATCTTGCAAAACAATGTCTGACTATATATTTTTGAACTTCTCTCTCTTCCCCAAACCAAATTTTGCCAGTTATGTTTGTGGGGAAAAAAAAAAAATCATTCATTGTGTGGCAGAACACAGACTGGAAAACCTTCCCAATGCTCTTTGCCCAACTTGTAGATATGGTGATGTTTACTTTCTCTGCTTACTGAGAAGCCTGAACAGATAGTATCAGTTCAAGGATCCTCTCCACAGTGCATGTGCACTGATGTAAATAACAAGCAGCAGCACACACTGTGCCCTCAGCAAAGCCTGGGCTGGGTGATGGCAGCCTTGCTCCCACAGAGGAGCAACTGCATTTGCAGATGGTTTCAGAGAAATCAGACAGTTGCAGAAGAAAAAGACTCTGTGACTGTAGTCACCTCTTCCCAGGTGTCCTGTACATCAATTTTTTTTTTTTTCCTGGATAAGCTGGAAATACATTTGAAACACCTACAGGGATATTTTTCAGCCACTTTAAACCATGGAGGGGAAGTTTTGTAGGCTAGGTGAGTGCAGTTTCAAGAACCTTTACCCTCTTTTTGGAGTCTGACACCTAATGGTAGTGAATTTGTTAGCCTTTCCATAAGGCTAATAAGCATAAGCTTATTAGGCATAAGCATCTGTTTCCATCCATGATGGACCAAATGAATTGCCTCCAAAACTGCTGACATTCTCCTCTTAAAAGTCATTGGCAGCAGCTGAGCAGAATCAAGCTATGGTGTGGGCCTTGTGGAAAGAGCAACCCACCACACACATCCTTGCCCAGACAAGTTGCATTGCACAGATCTCATTTCTCTAGGAATTCAGACTCTAAAAATATTTTATTTTTGCCCTCTTTTTCTATGCATTTCATTCAGCTGTGCTTCAATCACTCTCTGCCAGACTTTCTTGCTCTTGTGAGGCTGGAGAAGTCATAAATATGGCAGGTCCCTTTGAGTGTTAATGCTGGATGCTGTCCATGACTGCTGAGCTGCAATATGTGAGCCAGCGATACCACAAAGAGAGAGTTTATATTCCTTCCCTATTACATATTTTTAGTGTGTAAATCCGCAGAGCAGAAGAAATTTATAGCAAAATGAGTGGTCATGGGGAAAGTAATCTCCATATAAAGCAGTGCCAGATACCTCTCTGTTTGGAACTCCTTCTATTGGGAAGTTTCCCACCAGGCTGAATGAAGCCTTCAGCCACTGCTGTTCTTTTTTTGTGCCTCAGTTTTGTGCCTCAGTGACAGGGGGTCAGTGACATTGTTTATCCATTATTCATTTAGCAATGCCTCTGGGAAGCAACTTAATGTCACGTATTTTTCACTTACATGAATTGCAATAAACTGGTTTCTTCTTCAAGCTTGCCTGCACTGGGAAAATTTTCTAAGTTCTTTTACAGCCAGCACAGCTTAAGCTGTTTGGAGGCTGCAGCAAGGATTTGGTAATAGACAGCACGAGGTGAGTGATTGTTTTTTACCAATGTGGCTTCAGACTGTGGCACTAGCTACATTTACTAAAACATGAACTATTAAGACCACTAAAACCAGAAATATTTTGGCTTTGTTGAAATACACATTATCTGTCTCCCTTGGACTGAAAATGCTTCTATTCCACAAACTGCTCATTCTCTCTTGAAAGGCCTGGCTTTCATTGGAAGATTTGAGTTTTTCTTCCTTTGCTTTCCTAGCCTTCTTTAAAGCAGGGTATTTTAAGTCAATATATCACTAACAAGCCCAGATGAGATTTCAGTGCAGCCTTTACTGTCAGAATCAAAATTATATGAAGTACTGAATTTTGAGGCAGTGATATGTGTGCAGTCAAGAGAAGCTAGATTCTGATCTGGCCGGGTGAAATGCTCCCGGTTAAATCCCATCACGTGCAGGCCTCTGCGCAACCAACATATTTGTGCACTAATAAAACTGAAGGGCTGGAAAGAGAAAAAGATTCTTTCTAGGTCTAATAGGAAGGATGTGAATAAATCACAGCTGAAAACATGGAGTGGAAAAGTTTGGTGGATACCCAAGAGATGGAGATAGTAGTTCCTTTGTTGAAGGAAGGCAGCTGAGGAGAAAGAGGAGGTGCTACACAGAAGGAAAAACTCATGTCTGTCCTCAGGACCTCCTGGAATGAACAGTATATGGGTCACTGGAAGTGGTGGATTAAAAATTATCCTGTAGTTGCAAAGATACATTTTCTGAAGAAGTGAAATTTGCTGAGTTTCAGCTGGAGTCAGATGCACATGTTTCACTCCTTTAGACACTCTCCAAAAATAGGAGAAGCAAGGTGGGTTGTTAAAGCATGAATCCAAGTCCTTGTGTGAAAACACTTCCCTTGGCATAGCAGGCATTTCTACCTCAGGAAAAGGCATGGCCAGGTTAGGATAGTGGAGGCCATGCTCACGGAGCCCCAATCAGTCAGAAGTGCTCAGCCTGTCCTGGGAGCAGCAGAGGACCCTGCTTTTCCCACAGCTGCTGTATCCCCTCCATACTGGGCCTCTGGCATGAGGAGGCAAAGGCTGTGCTTTGCAATGTGCCAGGAATGGGGACAGAGGGAAGAGGAGAAAGCAGGAAAAATTAGTTGTCTCTCAGCCTTCACCAAGCCATTTTCCTCCTGAGAACTGAACCAGGGCTCCCTGTGAAATCAGGAAGCACGTGGCCATACTAAGACACACTAGGACCATCCCAAAGGAAGGAGAGACCCTCTTTCGAAGCAGAAATAATCTGTATTTCCTTTTGGTATTCCCATACCTTCTCAGATGGGCTATGCTCTCATTTTACGCTACCCCTGGAGCAGGTTTGGCTTCCAGGGTTCCCACAGCTTTGGAGGACAGTAAAGGCAACTGGAACTGTTCACTGACCTCTGCCAAGGGGCTGTCACCCCCAAAAGGGCTGGTCACTTTTCCCACCCCCTTTTCTTTCCAGGGCCAACCATAAAGGAGATTCAGTAGTCTGTTGGCAAGGGTACAAATCCAGGTTTAAATTAGGTCATGAGGACCTGTGTGTGCACTGAGAGGAACCAGCTTGTTCACACCTCCATGTCCTCTACCTGACCAGAAGAATGCCTGATTCCCAAGCTGGAGTTCTGTCTGCCCAAGTGTCCCAACACAGGACTGTGACCTGTCTGCTGTGGAACGCCCCTGGAAGGAGGTGCCTGTCTCTCTTCTCTACTCCCCTGCCCCACAGCCAAAGCAGCCTTACACCTCAGGGCCAAAGCTAGGGTGCCATTCACAGGTCTCCCTTGAGCTCTGCACTGAGTGCAAAGGATGCCTGAGGGCACACAGCACCTTTCCATCATCCCAGAATTAGTTTCTCTGCAAAACAGTTTCGTACTTGCAGACACTTGAGGGTGTATATCCCTCCTTCTTCTTGCCTCCCAGAAGCTAAGATTCTCACATAAAATTCAAATGAAAATGGTTTTGGTGGGATACTCAGTAAAAAAAAAAACATGTTGAATGGTGAGACAACAAATCCTTTCTGTCTCTAAGAAATGACTGTATGTGGTCCTTAGTGCTAGACTGCCCAGATTGCCTGCTATCTAATGAACCCTTATCTTGCCTCTACCAAACATTTGATATAATCAAGGCTTTACACATTTGCTTTAGTCTATTCTTACTTCAGCTGACAAGGTGGTGAGAACTGCCTTACTAGCTCTCTTGAGGCATTCCTGGTGGCTCTCCAGGTTGCTAAATCATCATCCATGCAGATCTTTCTTGAATTGGTGGCTTAAACACAACTTCCATGCCCTCCCTCAGTTGGATTACAGGATGGGGTGGCCAACAAGTTACTCTGACCACCGTGCTAAAGGCAGCAAGTCCCTCTCATCCTTGCACAGCCACTGCTCAGGTTCAGGTTTATGGTGAGTTCAGTGTTCCCTATGCAGTCATGAAGCTTATGTGCTGCACAATACGGATCATGAACTGTCAGAAAACTTCCCTGCATTTTCTCCATGGCAGACAGATGTGTAGGTGGCATTTTTTTTGTCTCAGAAGCCTGCAGCTTGATGATTCACCAGCACAAGCTTTGATGACTCCTACCCTCCAGTGCTGTTTCCTGCTCTATGGTTACACTGGTT